CAAGCTAACCCAGCATGCGCAAGGGGATCAATTTTTGCCAGCCGCGCGCAAATTTCCCGCGCAAAAATTTTAACATAAACAATGGTACCAACTGCTGTCACCCAAAATATGTCAAGAAAATTAAACGTTCATAGAAATCTGTAAAAATGGAAAAAATTTGGGTAAAGAAAACTCGATGCTTTCCAAGCATAAAGGTTATTTAATAAGGGATATCCTGATTATTTACCATTTTGTTTTAAGTATCGATAAAGTCAAAAACGGCTGTACAAAATACAGTGACTTACTGGTTTCTAGGTGTGTTTATAATTCTCAGATGACAACTCGATTCTGAAGTCTTGAAAATACATGCACAGACGTTTGAACTGCGTTGAACAGGCTAACAACGAATGGGAACATTTTCCAAAGCGATGACATCAAAAGGCGTTTACAGGAAAATCTCCGGTGATGACGATGACGAAGTCAGTTTTACATCTGCTCTTTTTTTTCGTTGGATGAACGGAGTTCTTAAGCAGGGCAGTCAAAGACCTTTGAAACAAAATGACTTTTTACCATTGTCAGACGAGAACTCTAGCCGTTTTGTCACAGACAAGCTTCGGGCAAGCTGGGAAGGCAAGAAACATCATTGCAGGATAAATGGGAAAAGGCCCAGACTTTGGAAAAGCGTGTTTGATATGCTTTCTGTCAAAGATGTCATCATCATTTTGACGGGGAATGTATTGTATACAACTTCTCGCCTTTTGTTTCCACTGTTTCTCGGGTATCTTGTTTCTATGCTTATGTCAGCTAAGGCAGAAAATACTTACCTGATCTACGCCTGCGCATTAGCTATGTGTCTCAATGGTTTGATCGGTGGTCTTGGTATGCACCAGCAAGACTACAGATGTGAAGTGTTGGGGATCAAAATAGGCAGCGCCCTAAGGGGACTGGTGTACCACAAGGTAAACACGATCCTAAACAATATTCTATTTTTTTTTAACATAATGATCATAATACGTATCATCTGAGTGGCTCGGGATTCACAAGCTTTCCTTGTATTCTCCCAACATCCCGCGTGGGGACTGGTGTACAACAAGATAAGCACGATCCTAAAGAGCATTCTATTCTTTTGTCGTAAAGTTAATAAACCTTTATCTATCCGATCTAAAACTATTTTTTTTCAGAAACCTTAACCAATTGCAATCAACTTGTGCTATAGTGAGACCCAGAAGGAGAGGATCATTGAACATGTTTACTGGTTGCTGTTTCTACGAGACAACTGTAGAACTCAAGCGATCCTAACCATCCACAAATAAACAATTAACAAACAATAATTTAGCCTACAGTTGATGTAAAAGTATACTCCACAAAATATAACCCTTTTATTAAATCATGAAAAAGTATATTCAAAATAATAATAATAATAATAATAATAATAATAATACTTTATTTACCCACGTATCACCTGAGAGCTAATAGCTCGTTTAAAACATGAACGCGAAACTAATTACAAGTAATGAGCTAATAAGAACTAATAACAAAAGATGAAAATATTGAAAAGCTATAAATTGTCTAATTTGTATGTACTATCTAATTAATAAGCGAAAGTTGTTAAAAATCGAGTTAAAGCCTTGCCATAAACGACTGCAACGCGCGCCTAAAGGCAGCCAAGTCCGGACATTCCCTAACTCTAGAAGGCAAACCATTCCAAAGCTTAGTAGTTAAATATGACCATGGCTTGTACATGTATTCTAAGTAGAACGATGGCAGCTTAAGGCGTGTGTCAGACCCCCTTAGGTTGTAATTTACATTTAAAACGTTAAAAAACTTACTAAGATATTCCGGTCCCTGTCCTGTTAAACATCGCGAATTTTTAACCCTGACGGCTTTTCAGCCTTCAAAGAGTAACATCATTCAAAATTTTCTTCAAAAGTGTACTAATAACTCTCTACGGTCAGACAGA